CCCCCCCCCCCCAGGTGCAAAACAAACTATCGGGGTTTGTCACAACTAGTCCCGACACTCAGCCACGCCGGCTAGTTTCGCAGGCCCGGAAGAGACCTTCGGCAGGCCATTTTCATCAGGGACCTGGAGACTGGCCAGGCCCAGGATGCTGGGAAATGTCCCAGGTTCTATGGTTCCTCCAACACAGCAAGCTCTGACACGACTGGTTTGCAAAAAAAATGCTGTGCGTTCCCTCTCCGTCATTCAGAGCATCTTTCCACATTACAAATGTATGATTTCACAGGTTTCACAATCTCCCCTCTTGTTGGGTTTTTTTTTGGACCCTGGGGGTGTTCAAGGCAAGAGATGTTCAGAGGCGGTTGGCCATTGCCTGCCTCTGCACAGCAACCCTGGACTTCCTTGGTGGTCTCCCATCCAAGTACTAACCACGGTTGACCCTGCTTAGCTTTTGATATCTGACGAGACTGGGCTAGCCTGGGCTATCCAGGTCAGGGCGCCTCTCCCTCCCACACTCCAAAAGAGTTGGAAGCCCTGGAGCCAAGTGCCAGAACATCAAAATTTGGAGACTGGAATTTAAGAACATCAGAAGAGCCCTCCTGGATCAGACAAATGGTCCATCTAGTCCGGCATCCTGTCTCACACAGTGGCCAACCAGTTCCTCTGGAGGGGCAACAACAGGGCACAGAGGCCAAGGTCTTCATGAGAACATAAGAAGAGCCCTGCTGGATCAGACCAGTAGTCCATCTAGTCCAGCCTCCTGTCTCACACAGTGGCCAACCAGTTCCTCTGGAGGGGCAACAAAAGGGCACAGAGGCCAAGGCCTTCATGAGAACATCAGAAGAGCCCTGCTGGATCAGACCAGTGGTCCATCTAGTCCGGCATCCTGTCTCACACAGGGGCTAACCAGTTCCTCTGGAGGAGCAACAACAGGGCACAGAGGTCAAGGCCTTCATGAGAACATCAGAAGAGCCCTGCTGGATCAGACCAGTGGTCCATCTAGTCCGGCATCCTGTCTCACACAGTGGCCAACCAGTTCCTCTGGAGGGGCAACAACAGGGCACAGAGGCCAAGGTCTTCATGAGAACATAAGAAGAGCCCTGCTGGATCAGACCAGTAGTCCATCTAGTCCAGCCTCCTGTCTCACACAGTGGCCAACCAGTTCCTCTGGAGGGGCAACAAAAGGGCACAGAGGCCAAGGCCTTCATGAGAACATCAGAAGAGCCCTGCTGGATCAGACCAGTGGTCCATCTAGTCCGGCATCCTGTCTCACACAGGGGCTAACCAGTTCCTCTGGAGGAGCAACAACAGGGCACAGAGGTCAAGGCCTTCATGAGAACATCAGAAGAGCCCTGCTGGATCAGACCAGTGGTCCATCTAGTCCGGCATCCTGTCTCACACAGAGGGCCAACAACAGGGCATGGGGGCCAAGGCCTTCCCTTGATGTTGCCTCTTGTTACTGGGATTCAGACGTTTACTGCCTCTGGATGAGGAGGCTGAGCCATTTTGTGCAAATTATACCACGCCACATAAAACGTGCAGTGTACACTGTCCTAGATTCATTTTTTTTTACAGCAGATGAGCCACCTTCCCCGTAAATTTGCAGGCTGACCCCTGGAGTACAAGGGAAGGACTGGGCAGGAAGTCTTTTGGACAGAGCCTTAAGTAACAGAGGCGAAAGAGATGAAGCTCATGGGATATGGGGGGGGGCAACAGAGGACAAGAGGGAGGGGTCAAGACCCTCTGCAGATCAAAGAGGATTACCTCCTCTCAGCACCCAAATTTCCCCCACACACACACACACACACACCAGCTGCCTCAGACATGACACAGATGCGGGGAGGAGCATGTGTCACTCCAGGCTTAGATGGAGAAAGCTTGGGTGAAATATATTTTTTGATTACATTTGATACCAATATTTAGACAACAATACTGAAAAAATATAAAAAGAAAAAGAATAAAGCATAACATTGTTTTACTATAAACATACACAGCGATATATATTTTTGTATCGCCTCCAAGCGGCACCTGGCAATTTCCCGTTCTTACAGTGGATCTCCAGGTGACAAGATCAGCTCCCCTCTACAGCATTAGGCCCTGCTAAGGTCGCTTCTCTCCCCAAATCCCATCCTCCCCAGGCTCCACCCCCCAAAACCCCAAGGGAACTCCCCACCCAGAGCTGGTGACCCTACCTCCCACCCTCTGGGATCCTGAGCAACCATCTAGCAGCGAGAAATGCAACCCTGGTTGGATCAGAAGAATACTTTTAGCCAGGGGTCATTTCGTAGCAAAAGAGGTGCAGGAGCTCATTAGCATAACTAATTAGCACAACTTATTTGCATATGCCACACCCCCGGACATCACCGGAAGTGTGTCAGAAGGCAACACCCACCGCTCAGGCTCCACTGGACTGTTTTGGATTGGTAGCTATTGGGGGGGGGGGGACGTGCAGATCTGTCCTCGCAGAGGAGGGAGAGCTTGTACCTGAATAAAACTTGGTCTTAAAGGTGCCACTGGACTGTTTTGGACCGGGGAGCCGGGGGGAGCTCTGCAACTTACCTGGCTGCTTCTTGCTCTGACTGAGGGCTGCTGGGAGCAGGGGATGGGGCTTGTTGCATGTGCCCACCCCCTGGGCTCTTTACTGCCGGAGCTCCGCTCCTGTGCGCTTCTGCAGGAAATGACCCCTGCTTTTAGTATGGAAATGGGGGCTCACTTCACAGAAGAAGGCAGTGAAGGGCAATTCAGAAAGCCCTTAGCACATCCCAAAGAGTATCTTGCCAGTATTCACAAGCACACACCCCTTCCTCTTTATCCCGCCCTTGACCTACCGTCAACATTGTAGACCTTCAGACCAGCCATGTGTTTTGTGGCACGCGCTTTGGAAGCTGTGATCAGCGTTGGGTTGTAGACTACAAAATCTCTGTAGTAATTTTCCAAAATGACCACAGCAGCACGTTGGATACTGGAAAGAGAGGGAGGGAGAAATGTATTTTTTTTTATAAAAAAGCATAAATAAATACGAAAAAGTGAAGTCGATGTTTTATTTGGGGGGGGAAATTAGACGGTCTTCTTATATTCCAGCTGAAATATCACATCCCAAATATGCTACTGTGCTGTCAGGTGATGGGTTGAAATAGGTGAAACACTGGTTTCTAGAGTAGCTTTTCCTTTCTCTGTCTAATGAGGACCTGCAATTTCTCTCCCTCAAACATTGACTCACTGAAAGATTTACAGTATAAGCAAAACAGTTGGATTTGAGTCCAGTAGCAGCTTAGAGACCAGGAAGATTTTTGAGGTATAAGCTTTGGGGAGTCAAAGCTCCCTTCCCTAGACATTAGAGTCACAGAATCATAGAGTTGGAAGGGACCTAGAGGGTCATCTAGTCCAACCCCCTACATAATGCAGGAAATTCACAAATACCTCTCCCACACACACAGGCCAGTGACCCCTGTTCCATGCCCAGAAGATGACTAAAAAACCTCCAGGATCCCCGGCCAAACTGGCGTGGAGAACGATTGCTTCCTGACCCCAAAGTGGCTATCAGCATTTCTCTGGGCGTGTAAGAAAGGGCCACGAGAACTAAGCATTGAGGCAATCCTCCCTGCCCTCCCTCTCATGATCTACCTAAGTTCACACAATCAGCAGTGCTGTCAGAGGGCCATCTAGCCTCTGCTTGAAAATCTCCAAAGGAGGAGAGCCCACCACCTCCCGAGGAAGCCTGTTCCACTGAGGAACCACCCTGCCAGGAAGTTCTTCCTAATGTTTAGCCGAAAGCTCTTCTGATTTAATTTCAACCTGTTGGTTCTGGTCCAACCTTCTGGGGCAACAGAAAACAACTCCACACCATTCTCTAGATGACAGCCCTTCAAGTACTTGAAGATGGCTATCATATCACCTCTCAGTCGTCTCCTCTCCAGGCTAAACCATTTTTATTTGGTGTCTGACAGAGGGAGCTCTGATTCTCTAAAGCTAATGCCTCAAACATCTTCTTTATCTCCCAAGTGTTCCTGGACTCAAACCTAGTTGTTCTAAGACCAACACCTATCTGAAGCAAAGTTACACTCTTCAAAGCCTGTTGAATTTAATAGACTTAGAAGGGTGTAATTTTGTTAGGGAAGGTCGTGTCAGCCTTTTAATCAACTTAACAACATTATTCTTTCCTGAAGTAATTCCAAGGCTGTTGGGGATAGTATTGTTTGGCGTATCTATGAACACTGGAAATTTCTGAGTCATGCAAATAGTAATGACAAACATGCCTGGTATAGAGATGGAGCAGCGAGCTAAATTGTGAGGCACCAAAGCACATTTTAGTTTGTGACAGTGAGGAAAAGAGTAAGAAAAATGAAGAGTCAGAAAGAGGTGTCAAGAAAGAACTTCAAGAGGGAATTGGACAAACATATGGAGCAGAGGTCCATCAGTGGTTATTCGCTACAAGGTACAGAAGGAACACTCTAGTCTGGGACAGTGATGCTCTGTATTCTTGGTGCTTGGGGGGCAATGGTGAGGGGGTTTCTGGAGTTCTGGCCCCACTAGTGGACCTCCTGATGGCCCCTGGATTTTGGCCACTGTGAAACACAAGAGTGTTGGACTGGATGGGCCATTGCCTGATCCAACATTGGCTTCTCTTATGTTCTTATGCCACAAACGCTGTCACCAAGAAAGGAAAATGTTATTATTTGGACTTTAAAATCGCTTGCTCACCGTATTGTATTGTCAGAAATAACACAAAACCCACCTTTTTGACTATGCATTGTTTATCAGAGGCCACTGGGGCACTGACGTACACATTCAAAGCAGGGCTTTTTTTGTAGAAAAAGCCCAGCAGGAACTCATTAACATAATAGGCCACACCCAACAGCAGAAACTCATTAGCATATTAGGCCACACCCCATGCCTTCCCTTGGTTTGCCCTGGCACCCTGCAGGCCAGGGAATTTAAATGCCCCCCCCCCAATCCTTCCAGGGCCCCCCTGGCCGGCCTCGGAATTGCTGGAGGGGGTGTGTGTCGCTCTCCAGGCCTTCTCCCTTTGTAGCCACGCACAAAGAGGTTTTGACTGTAGTGGGCATGGCCAACTCTGAAGCCAGCCGGAACTCTGTTCCTGTGCGTTCCTGCCCCAAAATAGCCCTGGTTCTAAGCAATGATCCCTATTTCAAACGGCTCCTGGGTCCCTAACCAGCAAAACAACTTCATTGTCTGCCTCTCACCTTACAGGTCTCAGTATTAAGGGGAGATTTTGAGGAAAACTTTGAAATAATGTCCATGTTTCCTGTATCACATGCACTGTATGTATTGTGGTTTCTCTTTTGAATCAGAATCAGTTTCTGATGGATTAACAGCTTCCGAATTTTCATTTTTTAAAGTCTTCACGAGAACTGAATGTCTGTACAGACCGAAATCCCCCTTGCTACTTTTCCAGAGATGACCTTGCTTCTTGGTACCGTGTGTATACTTTTAAACACAGACCAGATTTTTACATACTACAGATAACGAAGGAATCTGAAGCCAGCGAGAAGATCCAAGGGCTGTGGACCTCTACAGGAACTGCAATCATCTAATAACTAACTGCAGCTTGTCTTACACAGTTATTAGGATGCTTTTTTGTGGGTTGCAGTATTTTAAAACCTTACTTTCAAAAACAGTTCTTTCACCATTTTAGGAGAGAAAAGTTTTCATAGGGTGTTCTCAATCTGCCTCAGACTCTCCAAATTATTCCAAAATATCCACTGGGGGAAAAAAGAGGTTTGGGGGCAAAAAGCCCAATTTTGCCCCTTTGTTTCCTCTAGTTTTTCTCTCTATTGTTCAGCACCTCACTGAAATAGCACCTCGTTTTTCTCTCAAGGTTCCTATTCCTTCCCAAAGCCCCCCACCAAAAAAACTTCCAAATGCTTCCCACTCAGTTACAAATAGAGTTGCCAAATTCTTCTTCGCCGGGAGCAGGGGGCTGCCGACCGGTGTTGGGGTTGTGTGCGCGTGCGAAGCGGGCGCGCGCCGTGTGCACGTCACCCGGAAGTGACGTAGGCACGCCGGGGACGCTGGGGGCGGGGCCACGGCCATACAAGGGGAAACCATGGAGTTTTCTCTTGTATGGCCGTGGCCCCGCCCCCAGCGTCCCCGGCGTGCCTACATCACTTGCTAGTGACACGCACGCCGGGGGTGGGGTTCCCCCGGGCCCTGATTCCGCCGCGTCGGAAATCGGGGCTTCAAAGCGGGGGATTCCCCGCCCCCCGGCCACATTTGGCAGTCCTAGTTACAAAACATGCAGCCAAACTTGTTGCCCCAAAATCTCTAGAGGTGACTTATTCTAGGGATGCCAACTCTGGCTTGAGAAACACCTGAAGATTTTGGGGGCGGAGTCTGGGGAGGGCAAAGACCTCAGTGGGGTATAATGCCACAGTGTCCACAACCCTTCAAAGCAGCCATTTTCTTCAGGAGAACTGACCTCTGTCGTTCGGAGATCAATTATGATTTCAGGAGATCTCCAGGTCCCATCTGAAGGTTTGCAACCCTACCCCATTCTCCTCAGTTTTTGCCCCAGGGAACTCATTCTGCTTCAGCTCAGCAATGGCGGCCTGGCTACACCCTTCATTTGCAGTTATTTGCATTTGGTGTTCATGCTCTAATTTTGTTTTGTTTTTTTAAAAAAACTTAACCCTCCAAACTCCACCTATTTCAAACAATTTTTTGAAAATACCACCTAGCCAGTCTAACCTTTGTAAGTTCAAGCCACAAAATGAATCACAGTGACTAACCAAAGGTTGCACCCCACCAATGTTCACCAATGTTCACTGTGAAAAAATAACTCCAGTCCAATTCTACGTCATGCAGCGCTGCTGCTGCTTCCAGACAATTGCCAGGTGACTACAGATCTCCCAGGTAAACAACTTGTTTCCCTCAATGCTTCATCAGGTCGCTTTAAGTATAAAGCAACCTGATGAAGCATTGAGGGAAAGATTGTTTACCTGGGAAATCTGTAGTCGCCTGGCAATTATCTGGAAGCAGCAGCAGCGCTGCATGACGTAGAATAAAGGAACAAAAGAAGAAGAAGCAAATTCTTAGAATCTAACATTTGTGGCTGATCCGCTTCGAACGTTACCCTCCTTTTCTAGCACCCCGCCACCATCGCCAGCAGCTTTGAATCTGTTCCTCTAGTAGAGGCAGCCGAAATCAAGCAAGGAAGAACAGGCCTTGATCCCCCAGACAACAAGAAAGCCAAGAAGGTCACGGATGATTTGGCAGAATGAGCATATGCCTGAAACATCTCCCTGGGGCAACGCTCCTGCCCACATCAAGGAGAAGCGGCTCCCTTTTGTAAAGTCAGCTCTGTGCCGGTTGACAATCAGGAGCCACGGAGTGATGGGAACCACCACCAACCCCAGCATTAGTGCGCGGACACACCCTGCCCTTCCCACATGGGCTGTCATTGGTCCAAGTAAACACTGTCAAGGAGTAGCAGAGGACGGGCTTGATTTATTGTTCTGCAAAAAATAAAATGAAAAAGAATACCCTGCAAGTTCTTGAATGGCTGGATTTATTATGAAAGCTGTGAATGAAAACCCCATCAGGAGGGTTCCCCAACGTGGTGCCCACGGCAGTCGCCAGTGCCTCCCTTGGCGGCCAGCCACTGAGATTTTCAGAAAGTGGTTGGGGCCATTGTGAGACAAGGCTTGTTATTGGCTGCCCTCGTTCAAGTGAAAGGCATTTCCACTGGAGGATCAGAAGGACTGATAAGCACCTGGGCTTTCCTTAACCATTATGTGGTCCGTTCCCCCTTTTAGGCTTCCCAGGTGCTGTGAGGGGGGAGGTACCCAGCTTGGCTCCGCCTCTCGCAGAAGTCATTTTGGGGGTGGTGCTTACCACCTCTGCTCAAAATTCATAATATGCCCTCAGGCTCGAAAAGGTTGAGGACCTCAGCTGTGAGGGGTTCAGACTGAATGGACAGGCCAGCCGGGGGTGCCAGGTCCC